GGCAGATTCACAGTCATTTATCTCAGGAGGTCAAAGCAGCTCATCATCAAATCCTCTAGTGTTCCCTCAAAGCCAACTCATCTCAATTAAACTAGATCAGGACAACTACCTGGTATGGAAGCAGCAGATCCTTACCACAATCAAGGGCTATGGTCTAGAATCCTTCATCAAAGAGGAGACAACAGTCCCTCCAAAATACCTGGAAGGAGAAATCACCATCAACCCAGACTACATTCTGTGGGAAAGACAAGACTCACTGTTAGCTTCTTGGATGTTGTGCTCCTTATCTGAAAGCATACTGGTGCTCATGGTTGGCCTCAATAGCTCGAGAGAGATTTGGGATGCCCTAGAAAGGAATTTTGCAAGTCAGTCTAAAGCTAAGATCATGCAACGCAAAATGCAGCTGCAAAACCTCAAAAAGGGAAACCTTCCTATGTCTGAATATTTGAGGAAAATCAAATCTATCTTCGATATGTTGGCTTCAGCAAATGAAATGGTCTCTGAGAGCAACAAAATCATGCACATCCTAGGAGGACTTGGCTCAGAGTATGACTCTGTGGTGGTCACAGTCACTTCAAGGCCTGACTCTTTTTCCATTGTGGACTTGCAAGCTTTGCTGCTTAGCTATGAGAATAGGCTTGAGTCCTATGGTGCCAACAGCATGAGCACAGATGGCTCTCAACCCTCACTCAACACAGTTTCTCAAACAAATCAGAATCAAAGGAAATTTTTCCAGCAAAATGAAAACAGGACCAGAGGAGGTTTCAGTAATTTTAGAGGAAGAGGACAAAGGGGGAATTTCAGAGGCAGAGGTGGTCGTTCAAGTCAAGGAGTTAGTTGTCAGATTTGCCAAAAGATTGGGCATAGTGCAAGCAAATGTTGGTATAGATTTGACTCTAACTTCACTGCTCAGTCAAATCCAAATACTCAAGTCAGCAAGCCACCAAATCTCAATGTGACCCAGATGAACAATTATGCAGCTTCAGAAATTGGTCAAGAGAGTTCCTTGTGGTTCCCTGACTCTGGTGCAAGCAACCACATTACAAATGACTATGGGAATTTCAACTCAGCAAGTGAGTACTCAGGTCAACACAAACTACAGCTAGGGAATGGAGCAGGTATGGATATTATGCATAGTGGTAACTCATTCCTTAAATCTCCCCATCATACCAGAATATTTACCTTAAATAATTTGCTTCATGTCCCAAACATTACTAAAAATCTCTTGAGTGTGTCTCAGTTTGCCTTGGATAATAAAGTGATCTTTGAGTTTCACCCTCATTCATGTTTTGTACAGGATCAAGCCAGTCAGGAAGTGCTTCTCAGAGGGAAGGTTAAAGATGGACTCTATCATTTCGATCTCAAAAGCCAGAAGTTTTGTTCACCAGTTACTGTTGATCATCCTATACCTCTTAAAGGCTCTGGTGTTTTTAGTTTCAATTTAAATAAGGCTTATGATTTAGACTTGTGGCATAGGAGGCTGGGACATGTAAACCATGAAGTAGCTAAGAAGGCTCTTGAGCATTGTAATGTCCCTTTTGTTCTTAATGAAAATTCCAGTTTATGCAGTTCTTGTGCAATGAGTAAAAGTCATAGATTACCTTATATGCATTCAAATTTTCAAGCATCAGAACCTTTGGAACTCATTCATACTGACCTATAGGGACCTTCTCCTGTAAAGTCCAGAAATGGATATTCTTATTACCTTACCTCATTGATCACTATACAAGATTCACCTGGATATATTTGTTAAAGCAGAAATCAGACACACAGCAAGCCTTCATTCATTTTAAAGCCTTGGTGGAAAACCAACTAAAATTTAAGATCAAATCAGTTCAAAGTGACTGGGGAGGTGAGTATAGAAGCTTATCAAAATTTTTGGAGGATAATGGAATACATCATAGAAGGTCTTGTCCATATACCCCTCAGCAAAATGGACTTGCTGAGAGGAAACACAGACATATAGTAGAACTGGGTCTCTCTATGCTATCTCAGGCATCTATGCCAACCAAGTTCTGGGATGATGCATTTGCTGCTGCGGTGTACACCATAAATAGAGTACCTACAAAGGTTCTCAACCATATCTCTCCATTAGAGAAGCTGTTTAACCACAAGCCTAATTACAGCAATTTTAGAATTTTTGGTTGCCTTTGCTACCCTTGTTTAAGACCCTATAACAGACACAAGTTGGAGTACAGATCCTCACCAGGAGTTTTTCTAGGGTATAGCAATGCTCATAAGGGTTACAAGGTGCTTTTACCAAAGGGAAAGGTCATAGTGACAAGAGATATTCAATTTGATGAAGGAATTTTCCCTTTTGAGAAAAGAACAAGAGATGACTCTGGTCAAATTTCCTTCAAACCTCCCTCAGCAACAGCACCTCCACTTGTTGTAGCCAGAACCACTAAAACCAAGACCACACAACAATCTGTCTCTCAAAACCAATCCTCTCCAATACAAAACTCACCAACCTCCACTCATAATACAGTGCCAAACTCTCTAAATTCCACTCACAGTACCATTCCCTTAGTTGTTGAGTTACCAATTATGCAAGATATCTCTACTGCTTCTTTTCCTAACAATGTTTTGCAGGAGTCTCACACAAGAGATGATACAACTCAAATAAATCAATGCCCTGCACAGCCACTAAACACTTATCCTATGGTGACAAGGAGGAAAGCAGGAATTCACAAACCAAAAATTTATATGAGCACATGTGAAGAAAACTCAGAACAGAAGATTGAACCAATTCACTATCAGCAAGTTGTCAAGCATAACCTTTGGAGACAAGCCATGACAGAGGAGTATGAGGCCTTAATGAGAAATGGCACATGGACTCTTGTGAATCTACCAGAAGGGAAGAATCTGGTTGGGTGCAAGTAGGTGTACAAATTAAAAAGGCACCCTGATGGTACAATATCAAGGCACAAAGCCAGACTTGTAGCCCAAGGTTACTCTCAATATGCTGGCTTAGATTATAAGGAAACCTTTAGTCCAGTACTTAAAGCTACAACCATTAGAGTGATCTTGTCTCTTGCTGTTTTTAATTCATGGGAAATAAAGCAGTTAGATGTGAGCAATGCCTTTTTGCATGGAGAGTTGGAGGAGGAGATCTATATGAGGCAGCCACCAGGATATGAGATTAAAGGAAAAGAAAATCTTGTGTGCAAGCTTGCTAAGGCTTTGTATGGTCCAAAACAGGCCTCAAGAGCCTGGTTTCATAAAGTACAACATGAACTGACCAAGCTTGGGTTTGTTACTTCAAGAGCTGATAATTCCTTGTTTTACATAAGAAAGGACAGAGATATTGTTTTCTTGCTGATCTATGTAGATGACATGATAATCACAGGGAACAATGAACACCTCATTTCCTCTGTGATCACAAGGCTGCAGGATTGTTTCTCCTTAAAGGATCTTGGTAGCCTTCATCATTTCCTTGGGATAGAAGTTACAAGGACATGTGATGGCCTTTTTCTTAATCAAAGTAGTTATATCAAGCAACTACTAGAGAGAGCTGGAATGAAGAAGAGCAAAGGTGCACCAAACCCAATGATATCTGGAGAAAAGCTTTCGAAGACAGAAGGAGATCCATTGGAGGATGCAAAATTTTATAGAAGTTTGGTAGGAGGTCTCCAATATGCCACAATCACTAGACCTGAGTTGGCATATAGTGTGAATAGAGTCTCTCAGTTCATGGCAAATCCACTTCACACTCACTTCAAGGCAGTGAAAAGGATATTAAAGTACTTAGCTGGTACTCATAGTCATGGACTGCACATCAAGAAATCTGAAAACACTTCACTAACAGCCTTCTCTGATGCAGACTGGGCAAGTGATATTGATGATAGGAGATCAGTCACAGGTTTTTGTGTATACCTAGGTGATAACTTGGTCTCATGGGCTTCAAGAAAGCAAGCATGTGTATCAAGAAGCAGCACAGAGGCTGAGTACAGAAGCTTAGCTCACTGCACAACTGAATTAATCTGGCTGCAATCTCTTTTGAATGAATTGGGGATCAGAAATCATGGAACTCCAACGGTTTGGGTAGATAACCAAAGCACAATATGTTTGGCCAACAATCCCATTATGCATGCTAGAACTAAACATGTGGAGTTGGATATTCATTTTATTAGAGAGAAAATCAAACAAGGAATTCTGAATGTGCAACATGTGCCAACTCATGAGCAAATAGCAGACATCTTCACTAAAGCTCTAAGTTATCAATTCTTCACCAAGCTTAAGAACAAGCTCACTGTCATGTCCTTACCTCGACTCGAATTGAGGGGGTGTGTAAAATTATCTAGCATGGTCCCATCTCATCAAGCTGGCGTGGAAGAACTTAGCATGCATGAGGACAAAACAATAACAGCACCTGCGGCGTGTTATTGTGACTTAAAGGGAAAACGAGCTAGCAGCCAAAATTCTACTTCACCTACCTTGTACTATGACAGTCCACACCATGCACGTGTAGGGCTAGGATGTTTCTTCAGTAAAAGGATGGATAGGATTGATTCTCCAATAGATGGATCTAGAAGTAGTTAGGGCTTATTCTATGTCTATATTATATTGCTGTAATTCTCTCTGTAAATCCCAAGAAAAACCGCAGCTACTGTTTAATGAAAAATTCCATTTTCCTTCATGAAGAACAAAGTGCTTTTCCTTAAATTTTCTAACAACATCAAATCAACTTTAATTATTTTATTTTAATATTATTTTAATATACCCACTAACAACTAACCATACCATTTTTTTCAAAATTAACCAAACCAAATCAAAAAATTCAATCAAATCACAAAAAAATTATATCCAAGCAAGTGTTAGGAAAGAAAACACCAATGCTTTTGGTTAAAATAATTAATTAATAGAGAATGTTAATAATAGTTAGGATTCATTAACAACATAAAAAATCCACTCGCAGAAGTCCTTCCTGAATATATAATTTCTATTAAAACAAAAAAAATGGAAAAAGAAAAAGAACATAACAAGGGTTTAGACATCTCTCACTTTGCATGTGAAGATTTATTTTTCTCTAAGCTCACTCCAGGAGTTTCTAAACTGCACGATCTCAGTAAATCCTCAAAATGTCTCATGCAGTTATGTTCCTTACATGGAATAGCATAACGTTCCGTTCAAGGCTATAAATTTCCAGCTCATGAAAATATCATTTTGGCAATGGCAAACCTCAGTTCGTATTGGGCGACTCATTTGCTTAATGAATGTTATCCCGATGCCAATTTCAATTCTAAGTTGGTCGGCAAATTCCATATCCAAATATATTAAGCTTCCTTAAGAATGTCATTAGATATATATTGTTTCAGAGAAGTATAAACTGATTCAGAAAAGTGTACCTTATGTACAAACATGGGATTCTACAAATTAATTCAGATATAATATCTCGATAAAATAAAATTTCTTTAAAAACAAATCATAATTCCTTCCCTTATTTCCACCACAAAGTAAAATGGATCAAAATGAAATGAAAGTCGTTTCCCCAATTGCCATTTCNAATTAACAAATAATAATAATAAATAAATAAATATTATATATTATAATCATGATTAAAATATATTAAATATAATTATTTTAAAAAAAATTCAAATAAAAAAATTGAAAACTTACTTTTATTTATTTTTTAATTAGTATATTAAATACTTATATAAAAATAAAACTAAAAAAAGCATTTATATATAATTTAAAAATATATTATTTTATTTTTATATATTATTAAAAATATATTATTTTTTATATATTAAAAATATACTACTTTTAAAAATATATTATTAAAAATATATTATTAAAAAATATTAAAAATATATATTATTAATATTATATTACTTTTCATTTTTAAATATTATTAAAAATATATTATTTTAAAAAATAAAATTCAAATAAAAAATTGAAAACTTATTTTTATTTACTGTTTAATTAAAAAAATAAAATATATATTATTAAAAATATATTACTTTTTATTTTTAAATATTATTAAAAATATTTTTTATATATTAAAAATATATTAATTTTAAGAATATATTAGTTTCTATATGTAATTTAAAAATATATTATTTTATTTTTATATATTATTAAAAATATATTAATTTTATATTATAAAAAAATATATTATTTTATTTTTTATATATTATTAAAAATATATTATTTTATTTTTATATATTATTAAAAGAGCATTTATATATAATTTATTAAAAGTATATTATTTTTACAAAAAGTTTTTATTTATTTTAAAAAATGATAATGTCATCCCATTCCAGTCTTATTCTTTCTGCATACCAAACGCATTAATGACAAAACATGTTTCATTCCTTTCTCATTATCATTCCATTCTTCAACTCATTACATTCCTATGAAATTCTATTTCATCACATCATACCAATCATGCTATAAGTGTAGTCCAATCAGCAGACGACTATACATATATATTGGATATATATGTACATATGAGTACATAGAGAAGGGATCATATGAGAATGGTAGATAATGAAAGAAAAAAGAATGATTATAGACAGATCAGTACGATCAATGGACATGATAAAGTCAATTTTAATAAATAATGGTCAAACAGACAATGGCAATGTCATAAATAAGTGTATAGGTAATAGTCAAATGTATAGATTTGTCCGCTTAGTAAGGGTAGCCTTGTAATTGCACTATCCTCATCCATCTCACGTGGGCCCCACCAATTACAACAACTTTCCCACCTCTCTCACACACAAACACACACTACCTTCTCACACACGCGCCGCCCAGATTACACAGACACACACTCACACACAGTAAATCTCCGATCGACTCCAGCTGCCGCGAGCGGCCGCCCGCCGTTGCCTACCGACGCAATCGCCACCATATGCAGACGGCGTCGTCCATATCCCGCACCGTCTATCAGTGCCGTCAGCTGCCGCGTGGTTCCTCCGTCAGTTTGTCTTCTCCGGCGATGTTAAACCATTCCGACTGACATTGTCGCCGCCAGCCCCAAACACGCCATCGCCATTTCCATCGACTTCCTTATCGTCTCCTCGTCGACGGCGTCAGATCTACGATTAATGAAACTTTAATTCTAAAATTCACCTATTTGTGATTTGCAAATTCCAGTCACTATTGGCGATGGCATCAGGTTTCAGGCGACCCCCGCCACCGTCGGGATCGACTGGCGTCTTCAGCACATAACCGAAAGTCTCTGACGCGAGTGCCGCAGGTGGAATTGGATAAATGAAGAATGTGTAGTATTGAGAAAACTAGGGGATTCATTTTGAGAATTGGATAGGCTCTAGGGACCTATTTGCAAATTAAAAAAATATATAATTATATTGCACTTTAATTAATGGGTAAATTTTGTAATTTATTAAAAACTTAATATATGCACAATATTGATAGGTAAATTAGACAATATTTGAAGGTATTATCAAAAACTTAATAAATACACAATATAAGTAAACTTTGAAACATAAACATGAAATTCAATTGAAAACTAACAAATGCAGTCTAGTTTTTTAAAGTAAAAAATGACAGTTTGAACCGAAATTTTAAAATTCGAAATAAAAATTTAGTTTCGACATATTCAGTTTAATTTTTCGATTAACATAAATAATCGAAATAACTGACATAAGTTATATTTTTTATTACAAAAAAAATTGATTAGTATTTAATATTATTTTTTTTATTTCACATTTTATGTTACTTTTTAATTAAAAATATATATATATGTAAACGAAATATACGGTGCAATCTAACAATTATTAAAGTGCAATTCGTACATCACTATGGTGTATAGTGTCGGTGTGTATTGTGCAGACTTAACCAACCGATTTTTTGTCCCAAATCAAATTGAAAATGAACATAATTATTTGTTTTATTTGGTTCGGTTAACAGAATTATCTTGTTATATTTAAATTATATTTATATTAATAATTTTATTTGTTATTTTTATATTATTGTTGGTTAAAAAAATTGAAATATACGTAAACGAAATATACTGTGCAATCTATCATATATTAAGGTGCAATTCGTCCAACAATATGGTGCACGACGTCAGTATTTATGGTGCAGTATTAACCAATCGAACTTTGGTCCTAATCAAATTGAAGATGAACCTAATTAATCAGTTTATTTGCTTTTAGTTAACTGAATTATTATAAATTATCGAAATAATTTTTTTATTTATACTAAAATTATATTCAACATGTTAATATTTTTATATTATTTTTTGTTGAAGAAAAAAAAATATTGAGTTCAATTGGTTTCATTCGCTATTCGGGCGATCTTATAGTCGTGAAAAAGTGCATGGTGTTATTTTATAAAGTGCAACATGTTGATGTATAAATTGTAATATGTTGTGTATAAAGTGCACTACTGTAATTTCGGTATGTTAGTATGTTTGTATTTTATGTGGCCAAATAATGTGATAGATGTTACTATATTATGTAGAACCATTTTTTAGATTTATGTTGTCTGGTATTTTGGTGTGAACTATTAATGTTAATTGTATAGTATGCGATAAAATGTAACTTGTTGTTTTATAAAATGTAATGTGCTATTGTATAAGTGCAATACGTAGTTTTATAAAGTGCAATACGTTATTCTATAAAGTGGAATAGTTTATACGAACTCGGATAAATTATGTATATTCAAAAACTATTTTTAATGGATAAAATTGTACGCGGAACCAATATAATTGAGTTATTCGGTTGGTTAATTTAATTATCTTAAATAAAAAAATATTTATCACTTATTATAAAAGTATGTTGAATATTTTAATTGATCCGAGAAGGAAGTTTTGAATCCATCACCATTACACTCTTGCTGATAGTCTGGGCATCCCGCTAGTCCCGATCTATATTTCTTTCTTGAAAATATTTTAATATTTTTTTGGTTAATATAATATGATATATACATATATAAAAAAAATTTTAAAAATAATATTTTTTTTATATAGTTTTTACAAATTATCAATTTGGACTAAAGGTTAAATTGAAACTAACCAAAATTTATAAAATTGCAAATAAACCCTTCATAATTATTAAATTTTCAAAATAAAGCCCCAAATCCAAATCTCACTTTTGATGCCCGATTGCCCGTCATTAGTCAACATCCGAGCACCCATCGGCCGGCAGCCACCAGTCCAGCCACACCACCACCACCACGATGCAAGTCTAATTATCAATTTTATTTTCGAATTTACGATGGTAAAGTGCAATTCCGGTCGAGCTCGTCCCCAGATTTCCAAGAAAATCAACTCGCGCGGCGGAGGCAACGCCGTCGAGTCGCACAGAGCAGAACGGATATGCGGCGGAGACTGGCGGATGAGGATAATTATAGCACCACGACGTCCGGACGGCTTCGAGCGGTGACGACGAAGGTTTTTTGGGAGGTGGAAATCCGCAGTTGCGAGCGTTGGCGGTGAACGGTAACCGGCGAGCGTCGACGTGTGTGTCGGATTATAGGGTGTGAGCCGCAGTGTGCGTGTGTGAGCCGCCTTGTGTGTGTCCCGGCGTCTGTNCGGATCTTGGTGGAGGTCCACGGCGATCTCCGACGACTGCTGTTGTGCTGGAGAGCTTGGACGGCGGCGGCGGACTCGACAGAACACGACGGCGGCTGGCTTTGCAGATAACGGCCGCGGCGGACTCAGCGGAACACGGCGGCGACGAGCATCGGCCGGTAACGGCAGCGGAGGGCGGCGGAGCATTACTGTCTCTACGTGTGTGTGTATGTTTATGTATCAATCAATGTGTGTGTGTGTGTGACAGTGTGTGCGAGTGTTTTGTGCGTGTGTTTTGTGTGTGTTGTGTGCTGATGTGGATGTGTGTGTGCTGATGTGTGCGTGACTGTGTATGTGACGGGGTGTGTGTATGGTGTCAATGAGTGTGTGTGTGAGAGACAAAATTGATGAGAGAGAGGTAACGGAGAGAGAGGGATTGGTGTGTGCATGGGTCCCACTATTTTTTGTCTTGTCAATTACTACATTGCCCTTATTGGATGTAGAATTTTGATTTTTTTTACCCATTAGATCATCCGATCGAATGGCTACAATGTATTTTTTATTTCTCGCATAAAGAGTCATTCTCACCGGAACGTAATCCTGAGTACATATGTATATCCTATATATATGCATATATGGTTTCATTAGAACGCCACTACATATCCTTAAATCAGGTAAATATATTTTGCTTGTACAAATACTGTTTACCTCTGTTCGCCTGCCATGTTCTTCATGCCATGTTCTTCATCAGACCGCCAAACTGCAATAAACTTACTCAAATTCAACAGATCAGATAAAACAAAACAAATGTAGAACCGCAAAATATAAAAATAATAATAATAAGCCCTTCATTCATTTTTTCCACTATAAAGGGTTCAAATCACATAATAAAACACCAGAAGAAATCACCCAAAAAACTGACAGTCGAATTATCCGAATTAATCCCCAACGAACAGAGACCAATCAATCCAGAGAGACAATTATCCCCGAAACTGAAAAGCAAATACGAAACGGATACACACTTCCATAACCATCAACCTGTGAATATGTACAAAACACAATATGCACATATACACAAACTTTATGCATGATGTTTCCCATATCAAACAGTACTAATCAATTTCCTTCAGACGACGATCCATGAAAACAGAAACCGACTCAAGGAAAGTGGCCTCGCTCGAGCCAGGCAGCACAGAATCCTGAGCTTCTTGCAAAATCTCTTCAATCACAGATTGCTGCCTAACTGTTGGTCTGCACATTAAACTGCCTATGGCAAATGGGGTAAGACCTTTTTCTATGCCTTTCTTCAAAAGCATAGTGGAAACACGTAGCACACGAGCACATTCAATTGGTATATCCCAGCCGTGGAATTTGAGCAGGGCAATGTCTTTTTCAGCATCTAACGAGTTTATATATTCAATGGTGTCGGAGCTGAAGTGCTGGCGAGATTGAGGCCAGTAGAGCCAGTCGAACGTGCAGTCCTCAAACTATAGATATTGAAAGGTGAGGTCACCAAGAAAATCAGCAAAAAAATAAATATGAAAAAAAAAAATTAATAAGTTTTGCATGCGAAGCAAATAAAGTGGTAGAATGAAGTGCAAATAAATGATTTTGTACAATCAACAATTTCTTAGCTGAGGAATTTTTGTAGCTTATGGTGACTTGAAATTATCCTGTCTCAATCAAATCATACATGCCAATGGAGATGGGGTGAACTATGAGCACCAATTTCATGGTTATAAGTTTGCTTTGTCCCTCAAAAGTCTAAAGGCTGCATTTGCAGAGCAAGATATGTAGTTCAGGAATTTGAAATCCACCGTAAAACCTTGAAAAATAACTTCGAAAAGGATATAATACCGAAATAATTAGTTATCCATACGAAGCCTAGATTACATTAGGGTTTAAAAACTCTTGAAAAAGTGACTCAAATTCTATATTCCAGCTAGAAACAACAAACCGCTTGTTCTAAGCCCTCTATGCAATCTGTGTTACATCCATATCCAAGAACAATAACAGTCTAGACATATAAAACCGTAAAACAGATGAAACTTGAAGGTTATGACAGTAGCCCATGTTGCAAGCCAAAACAACACCGACCAATTTAGAAATAAGACAGCCAAAAAATACGAACATTACCCACATTCGGTTCACACAAACAAGTTAAACCAGGNACACTGACTTACACTATATGGCAAGCAATATCCATGATCAATTGGAATTAGCACCGTCTGCCCATCTTCTCCTTTACCAACCAATATATTCCCAGCATGCCTATCTGCATTCGCCATCCTAATATCCAGCACAGCAATTTTGTGCACTTCCTGAACCGGAAAAGCCCGCGGGCCCATATCCTCACAACTTCCATTATTCTCTATAAACATCTGCAGAGAACCACTCTTAACCGACAAGCCATCCGGATGATTAAATCCCCGGTGAAGGCACCTCACATAAACAGTTGGGGGAACTCCGGCAAAGCCCGTAATATCACCGGAAATCGAGCGCGGGCCCATTTTCGGGTGGTCGAGTAAATATACAGCACATTCTCTGATTGCACCTTCTCCAACTCTAGTCCCCTTTTTCAACCCTTCACCATCATCCGACAAAGGCAGACCACGAGGGTTATTCACGGCCTTAGGCTCTTCATCTGTTGGCTTGAAAACAGATAAATACTTAGTTCCTGACGAGTTCCACATAAAATATGCGCCCCCAGTACCTTCTGAAGCTGTAACAGGATATTTTCCAGTCTCCAACCCTTCAAGAGTGGAATCAATCATGTTAATAATCTCGGAAGGGAATTCGACCTTCGGGTTGACTATCACGGGCTCCAATAACGTCTCTCTATTCGAAGTCTTTTCAACTTCAAAATCTTCAACGTCATTCTGCAGCGGTGGTGCAGTAATAGACAACTCGAAGTTCTTCCCTACAGGGGAAGCTCGAATTTTAGCAGTCTTTCTCACAAACAGATGAATCACTGAATCGGAATTGTGCTTGGAGATATCATTGATCAGCCTCTGATCCTCAATCGGCTCGCCATTGAGCAAAACCTCGTGATCCTCTGCATTCTCCGATTTCTCCTTGGCTATCTTACGCTTGACATAACCCACATTACGGCTCCTCTCGACGTGAAAAGTAAATTCTTTCCCAGAGCAAGTTTTTACTGTAATGACCTGAAGGTCTGAGAGACGGAGGATTAAATGCAAGACGTTGCCGTCTGTTAAGCCATAGTCCCGCACGAGTGAATTGCTTCGTGCTAATTCTCTGCCTTCACAGACAAGTTTCTGTTTTTGTTTTCTGGTGAAAATCCCTTTACAGGTCTGGATCCGGAGGTTCATGGACTCAATTGAATCGGACCCCAAAACCCTAACCGGGACCATTGAGCCTTCGGACATAGCCACGAAAATCATAATGGATTCTTGGCTGTGCTCGGGGGACGGAGGGGGCAAAAACGTCAAACCCTCCTCGCGAACAGGGACAATGGAGACCACACCTGCGGAAGACATCTCTGCGATTTTCCACCAAAAAAATTTGAATACCAAACCCTATAAAACCAAAATCTTCAAACCCTAATATACAGCTTCCATTGTCAGGGTTGAAATATATGTACCAAAAATCAGAATGCTAAAACTAAACCAAATATACAAATGGTCGCCGCACAAACCCTATAAGGATTCGTGATTGGCCATTGAATCAACAAGGACAGAAGAAAAAAAAATTCAAAAATAAATAAGAAAAAATAAGAAGAATCAAAACTGGAGCTTCAAGGGATTCAATACAAAAGGTCTACAGATCATTGAGCAGAAAAAGGCAAAGAAGACGGAGGAAAGAGGGGATTGAAATGGGTCAAGAATTACAGCTATCGGGTTTCGTTTTTATTGAATTGGAAAAGAAAGGCAGAGAATAAAAGAGGGCAAGCAAGAGAAAATTTGGGTTTGGTTTGGAGGAGAAGAAAAAGCAACGCGGTTTCGGCAACGGGTTCCTGTATTATATAATGAATTATATATAATAGAGACTATAGAGAGCTTTGAATTCCAGCTTTGACGGGCAAAAATAATACCTAAATAAAATTGGAGCGTTATAACTTATACGTATACCACACTTTATAATAACAAGGTTGTGAAAACCAAATCGCTTGTTGAATTGGTGAAGTTACCGGTCTAATGGTTCACTGGTCTAGTCGAACCGGTTGAATCGATTTAAATAATATTATATAATTTTTTATTTATTTTTACATGTAATATATATAATTGCATATATTTTTACCATTAATTTTATAATGTACAATGACATTTTTCTACATGTAAAGTAATTGTATATATTTTTATCATTAGTTTAATATATATATATATATATAATATATAATTGTATATTTTTATTCTTATTAGGTTAACCATTAAAGTTTTAGATTTATTATGTAAAGTTGTATTTATTTTGTAAATTCTGAATTTGTAATAATAATATAATTCTTTTAGTAAAAGTTTGCACTATGCATTATGAAAAAGTTTGGGCTCAAACTTTATCATTTTAATATAGTTTGGGCTTAAATATATAAGATTAAACATTATGTAAACTTATTGTTTCGTCCAGGCTCGGTCTGTGGGATTTTAGTATTTGAAGTTTGAAAAAAATACACTTTGCATGCATATATTAAAAAAATATTAGAACTAAAAAGTATTCAAAGTCCAAGCCAAAGCAAAAAAGCTAAAAAAGTGAAAAGTTTACACGAGAAAGAAGAAAAATAGGTCTCATAGAGAGCACTGAAGAAGAGATTTTATTTCTTATTCTTGGATATTTGCTAAAAAAGGTAAAAAATTTACACGAGAAAGAAGAAGAATAGGCCTCATGGAGAGCACTGAAGAAGAGATTTTATTTCCTATTCTTGGATATTTTAACTGATGGCCGAGGAGAGGATATTAGAAACTTGAAGGTCAAACTACGGATTATTTGGTTAGACCGCAATCGCCTCCGTAAGAAGATAAAGGCAAGGAGTCCAGAAGGAGTTTGGGATATTCAGATATCTTTGTTAAAAGAGAATGACAGCGCTCAATCAGTTTTGCTTGGTAATGGCCTAAAATCAAGTCGAGATTTGCTTTGCTGGTGGAAAGGTCCGATAGCTTGTAATAATAGGTGGACTCTTATATGCTATGCGGCAGTCTGGAATACAGGAATCGGATTAGAGGCTAGATTCGGGATTTAGATGATATATGTCAGACTACTTTCGCTACCTGTTTCAAAGTTCATTTTCTCCTTTATTAGCGAAAGTTTTGGCTATTCGATACGGTTTATGGACCTTCAGTCGGTTTATCACAAATTTGATCCAAAATCATGGTTAAAAATAGGAACTCACTCAAGAATCTGACTGATACATCAGGTGAACAGGCTATATAGAAGCAAGAAATGAGGTCAGTAGTGATTTGCTGAAAGTCACCTTCTGAGAAACCATTTAGGAAAGTAGTGAAATAAAAGAAGAAAAGGAATTTAACATATTGTTTCATATAGCAGAATAGAAAAGAAAAGTCATTGCCTATCGAATCCAATTGACATTAGCCAAGAGTTGGATTCAGAAATATACTAAACCCCAAAACTCACATATAATAAAACAATCAAACCCAAAGAAGGCCAATTATACTATTACCAACTGTCAAAATTTTATCCCCAAATAATACAAAAAATGTACCCGAAGTATCAAAATTCCTCTACCGAATGGGAAAAAAAAGTTATACCAATACAGAAACCTCCGAGTGGATCAAAAAAACAAATTTCCAAAAGAGAACCTGCACATCAATATAGAATTATGATCAGCACAAAGATTTAACTTTCCAAAGGGAAATTTTTAAAACTCAAAATCATGCAGACATGCAGTTTGGGAAGATTAAATTAGAAATGGTAGTGATTATGATAACAATGACAGGCATAATAGTTAGTTGACTGCATGGACATGAGAACAGAGTTATGAAATTAAAATATAACTATATCCAAGAATAATATATATGAACTGAAATTTCTATATAGAGAGTCATCTATAGAAGCATAATAATAATAATAATAATAATAATAAAAAAAAAAACAAAAACAAAAACAAGACAAAGATCTCCCAACATATAGGAAATGAAAACTCTAACCTGCATAAACTGAGTGACCACCTTGGGCATCCAATACACATCGTAAATTAGGCACTGATGTCAATTTCTCCATTCCGTAATAACAATGCAACATCTTCTCGATTATCTTGTTGTACCATTTGAATAAGGTTTATACCAAGCCTCCTCAAGCCACACTATCCGCAGCCTGTTCAATGGCATCAAAGCCAGTGGATCTCGGAAGTTCAGTTTCCCTCAGCACTCTACTGTGCACAACTTTGAACGGCTGCGAACTGTACGGCCGTCTCAGCAAACTCAACGGCATTCTCAACATCTGCTTCCTGTTCCTTCTCCCTCTAACCAAAATATTGCATGTCTTTTCATCATCAACATTCTTCTGCTCCACTTGCTGAACCAAATTCACGCCGTTCAAATTCTCCACGGCCTCTGACACCGGAAGGTCAATTTCTTTCTTGGACTCATTCTCGCTGTCAAGATCCGCTGGTAAATTAGGCGCCAAATTTACGCTTTCAGGGTTAATATCGGCAACCTTCACCTCCAAATTGGGCTTTGGAATGGACTCGACCAATGTCGGGGATGGGAATTCTACCGGACGGGACCCAGGCCAAACTGTGACGGGAATGTACTCAGGCCATGCAAACTGACGTTGATGGTAGGGACTGTTGCTAGTTATTTGAAAAGTCGTGGGTGGCATCGACTGAGGGTATATAAATGGCGGGAGAGGGTGGATTAGGTTTGGAGTTTGCGGCGGAGAAGGATATGTGTGGTGGTGGTGAGGAGATATCGGGCCAGGCAAGATAGTGGCATGGCCCGGATGAAGGCCCATATTCATGGGCCAAGGCCCGACTGGTGGAATGGGCAGCGGCGCCACACGTGGAGCGACTGCAGACGGATTGTATGGAGCTGCCGATGCTGATAGCTTCTTATTGGTAACTTCTTTCGAGTCGTTCAAAGACGATTTCGCCATTATTTCATCTGCCTCTTTGGGATTTGATTTTGTACAATCGTCATAGACTAGGGTTGGATCTGAATCTCCTGTACAAGCACCCACTTCTCGAGAATACGAATAATTCGGCACATGAGTGGTGTCCAGTGTGTTTGATATGTCCAATACACTGAGAACATTTTTGTCATTATCCGCCTTGTCGTCTGGGTGAATTTCCTGTTTCCTATGGGAAGCTTCAATTTCGACTTTTAGTTGGACAATGTTGTCTTCCTGATCATTTTCTGCAGTTAACAGAACAGTCCCAGATTTATTCTCATCCTTGAATTGCTGCTCGTTGTGTTCTTCAACTTCCTCGGGGCTATAACCGTCATTTGCCTGTAACATGGGTATGGTGCCAGGCGGGGCCAAAGCTACTTCCTTGTATGAAGGTGACTTGCCCAAACTAACTATCGAACACCTTTTAGTTACCCCTTTGACCTCTTGAGGCACGAGAACCGAAACCAAACCTGAGTCTGATGTAGAGTTTAGTGCCTTGCCCTCGTTCTTCAAGCCCTCTGCTGCCGCAGTATCTGTAGTTGATGATGACACAGACTTCACTCTGTAAGCTACAGTTTTGACCAACTTTCGCCCGAATTTGGTCCCCAGTGATGGGTTCTTTGCCACATAGTATTCCGTAAAGCTCCCTGGAGATGTTGTCTTCTTCTTTAGGACATAATATTTACTACTTTGATGGTTATTTTTCAATCTGGCATGATCTATTTCAGCAACAGAATCTTTCTTCTGGTGATTGAATAATTTATTTGAATGCTGATGCCGGTGCCTTGGCCGTTTTCCAGAAGATCCAGCTGACCTTGGTCTTTGGACTGGCTGCCATCCATCTTCTCCTTCAGGGTGTGTTTCAGGTGAGACATCATTATTAACAGGCGTTTCCTGTGTCAAAGATTGTACGGGATGGATAGTATTTTTCTCAGTCGGTGCCTCTAAAATTTCTCTAGACTGAAGTAGTGGAGAGGAAGATGGATGATTGGCAGAGGAGTTGACAGTAGAGTTAGGGGTTTGGTTGTCTTCATTTGCTGCCTCAATTGAAGTATATTTTGGGGTCACTTCAGAATCCATTGTGGTTGGATTGTTTTGGAGGGATTTCACCTTTGCCTGAAAATGGAAGCATAAATAACTCTTAAGAAAAAGAAAATACTACGTCACAGAAGTTGCCTCAGAAAATACTTATATTTTTCTAGCCCCAAGCTGATGATTTACTTTTTTGTAGAGTATCCAAACACTCCCTTACATAAAATATTTAAAGTATTACTAGAAAAACCTTTGCAATGTAACTTCTTCTCTTTGATCCTGCAGCATCTTTCCCTTTAGCATCTTGGCTTGGATTAATGTAGTCGAGCAAATCTGATACACTGCCGACACAGTTATCAGTAAGTTATATAGTTTTTCTTTTCTGTTATATATATATATAATATATATATATATATATTGACCATGTTGACTACAATAAGACACATGAACTAAATATAAAAATTGTGATGGTCCCAAGCCAGGTATCCCACCTTATTCCTCACTGCAAACATAAAAGGTTGTATCTGCTGAAACTGTAACATGTCTCAAATTCATTAAATGCAATTCACTCAGAACTGTCTATTTACCTAAGGTGGCCCTTGCTGGCAATAGAAGCATCAGGCTTGCGAGTCCCATTTCTAGCAGCTTCTTGCTGCTCAAAAGCTTTGGATTCAAAGTATTCGAGCCATGCAGCAGCATCCTGCAGGTTTCATATGTTGAGATGGTGTAATTGTTCATACGAATAAATAACTAAAATTTCTTAACATGAAACTTTTCCAGAGACTTCACAGCAGTAGCAATATTAGAGTCAGAGAAGTTACTACTTGAAGCCACACACACACACACACACACACACACAAAAAAAAAAACGAACAGTGTTATTTTGTAAGTCAGTGAAACATGAAAATCAAATTTTCTATTCCTCTTAATGTATGGTTTTATTTATGCAGAATAAAAGGCAAAGAGCTGATACAATTCCCTTGAACATCTTCAGGAGTTGGAAAATACCAAATACCTGTGTGCGAAGGTCATCCGGTCCCAGCTTTGCCCGGAGTATTTGTAAGGTCGTTTGTTCATGTTGAACACTTAAAGGATATGCTTCCATCAATGAGAGCGCAATTGCAATGGCATGGTAACTGGCGGCTGTCTGTAAAACATTAACTGATTTAGTATACTTTTTCTGGAACATGCAAGCACTACAAGATTTATATATTCCAATTTTCACTGTCTGATTGAAAAGAGAAAAAAGAGACACTTCTAAAGGCCTAGTGGTGGTGTTATCATTGGAAGCAGGAAAGATACGACATCGAAACCTGGTTCTTTTCTGTACACTGAAAAAAAAAATAAAAAACCATAACCCAGAAACAATATTGTAATAGTAAGAATATTAGCTTATTAACAGGGAACCTGAATATGGTCTGGGCCAAGAAGCATCTGGTTGCACTTCAGAGCTTTATGAAGATATCTTAGAGCAACGTGCACATTACCCAGTCCTTCCTCCATCATAGCCACATTTATGTATGTTGCAGCAGTGTTTGGATGTGATGGACCACACGTGAGATGTAATAGATACAAAGCTCGTTTCACATATCTGGATGATGGAAAATCAAATTACCACATCAAAATATGTAAAACCAAAATAAATTGGAACGCCTCTTTGAACAGAAAGAAAGCTCAATGAAGTTCCCACAAATGGTTATCGTCCATTGAAGCTACAATCAAGCATATGCATTGTTTGAGACTCAAAGTCAGAATATGCTCACGATATATCCATATTTTTGTTTAGGCTTGAATTTCCCTATCAAAGATCCATCAGTGCAACTCTACATGACGTAAAATCATTTAGACTGAGAGTCAGGATCTTTAAACACTAAGTGATAAAATTATGAAAGAGTATAAACAGGAACACATGTCGGCTGTGTTTTGAACGAAAATGCTGTAAGCTACCGGAACCTATATGAAAGAAATAATGGTACCAGATAGAAATAACTTGTCATTGAAACAAAATCTGTGAATAACAATGGAGCTAATCGTCTCTATACAATCCGGGAAGGCAACATGTACTGTACATACGCAATAATAACCTTTGTTTGGAGACAACCACAAAAGCAAAAATAGTTTTGATGAAATAGTTTTAGAGTATCATGATGGCAACAGTGATACATACTTGAGTGCCAATTCTGTGTGTTGCAATCTGTAATAGAAAACAGCAAGATCGCCGTAACTTTTCATAGTATCTGGATGATCAAGACCTAGCTCCCGCTCATTGATATCCAATGCTTTTTGCTGATATATTGTGGCCTGTAAATAATAAACTTAGTAAACAAGGTGTGCCAATACAGCGACTACGCATACAAATGCAATAGAATAACACGATTGAGAAAGCACCTGGTTGAAATCTCCCGTGTGATATAAAACAACGGCAAGAAGGCTGTAAGCTCCAGCTGTCATCCGGTGATAGGGACCACATACTGCTACCAACTTTGCAAGGGCCTGGCATAGTGAGAAGGTTGCAACCATTAAGTGATCAATAACCACAAGTTGAAAACTATTAACTAGAATATGTCCGGAGTCTAGTTTATATTGGTTATTATATCTCAACAATAATTAATAACGAAAACGAAAGCAGAGAAAATGTTATTGTAGGGTTTAGGCCCGAATACTAATCTCATCTCCAACCTCAGAATATTTACAAACAAAATCACCTTTGTTCCATAGTTGACAGCTTCTTCAAGTTTTCCCTTATCCAAGGCTGTTTTAGAAGATTCCAAGAGTTGTCGTCCATCCGCAGAAGAACATGCCGCTTGCTACAATAAACCAATGGAATTTATAATGTGAGGATCTTGAAAATGAAAAGGCTATATTTGGAAAATGAGAGTAAGTTCACCTTATGTACTGGTACAAGGGAAGCTATGTCTTCTTTGCGGAAGGGATGTGCAGATTTCATATCAAAGTCTCTGGAGACAAGCTCAATACCCACCTATGAAAAGAACACGAGAGGTTTTTAAAGCATTCTTATAATTTAAAATTCTAGCCTCCTTTGTATGAAGTAAACAAAACACTTCTTATTACGGATCCATTCATCAAAAAGTGGTTCATAGAGCTTGAGTAGTAGAACAGAAATTTTGCAAGCTATTAATTACATGTTTACTTAAGGATTTCAACATGTCTCGCATTGTAAATTGTCCATTCTCCCACAACAAGTTATATGACGCGATTGTGTTGGACTGCTTTCTTTATGAATTATATTCAATATGTCAAGAAAATAACTGATATTATTTTTGAATGCTGACAATTAAAAGGCACATGTCATTGCATGTCTTCTGAAAATAGAGCTAGCATACCTTATGGCATAGACCACGAAGAATAGCATATTTCCTCATATCTTCAAAGTTTGATTTGCTTAGATCCCATTCAAATCGTTTTTTAAGGAACGCCTCAAGCCATCTCCATACAATGGAATTGATACCATGAGGTGTATCTGACTGTTCCCTTTCAAAAACTCCAAGCATCAGATTCAGTGCTGCTGCAATTGCTGCTGCCAGATTCTCAGGTCCCCGAACAGCAGAAATAACTGCCTGCAGAATGTGCTTAAAAGCACGTACAACCATTTCATGGATGCAAAGAGCTTGCACATGCGACAACTTCTCTGAAAGTTTAACCTATTTGAAAATAGAATATGTACAACATTCAGTAGAGAACTCACTCAAGATAAAATCTTCTGGTGAAATGTTAAATAGATTGACATAACAACACAGTACATGAATTAGAATGGGTGTGATGATGCAATGCAATATACAGGTGTAAATCCCATATGTTGAATCCAAGTCAATGAGTATCAAGCAATGGTGTAATATTACTACATCACCCATGAACTAACAGTTAATCAATGGTGGAGGAAAACATGTTATATAAACAGAAGAGTCCATTTAATCATAAGGAACATACAACTTTCCCAAGGGAACGCATCCGAAGTCCTCTTGTGTGCATGAAGTCTGTTAATGTGCGACCGTCAACTGGAGAGAGTTCCAAAGAACCGAAATCGGCAACCTGTATCACATGATGAATGAGTCATTCACTAAATATGCCACTTCAAGGCATAACCATATGAAGGAGAAAAGATGCTATTACCAGTTTAGGCAAGGCAACTTCATCGTAATATTTTTGGGATAATTCAGTTAGTTCATGGAGTGACTGTCAAGAAAAGCAATTTAGTAACCTGAATCTAGAATCGAGTCTGAAAAATATATGTATAAAGAAATCACAACAGTATCATGCTACCTTGGCATGTAGTCCAGTCTCTGAATCTTTTAATCGACTAAAAGCAGCATCAGACAACAAGGTCTTTAGCATAGGTTCCTTTTCACTTGCATTTATATCAACCTCAGGTTCTATCACATTAACAGCTGTTTCTGTCACATTCTTCACTTCATCGGTTAATCTTTCAGTTTGCCATTCCGCCTTACCTCCATCCGAGTTCTTTTTATTTTTAAGGGACTTCAGAGGCGTTCCTAGTCCCTCGACTTTCATTTCATTCTTGACCTTCTCATTAGACGATTTCTTTTCTTTTTCTGTTTTTCTTTGATCTTGTAAATGTTGTATCCAACAGGCTCCAAGTTCCCATCTCACAAAAGTGTCCCTGTCAGCTTCTTCTCCCTCTAGCTTTGAAAGACTTTCTCCCAACAATCTCTCAACAAAGGCTTCAGAAGAATCAACTTCTTTACACTCTCCCACTCGAGAAACCAATGTCAACTTACTTTGTTCAAGAGTTGCATTTTCATGAAGAAGTTGCCTCAAACTACAAATACAGTCAAAGTAAGAACCACAAGTAAATGGAGACCAAAGAACAAGTGATATCAAATTATATAAACCATGAGACAAATGAGCAAGTACATACTACATCTAGTTGCATGATAAACTACTTTCTTTAGTGGATAAGGATATGACAGCTGTATAAAGAGATGGATATTAAGAATTTGATTGCATGATAATTAATATAATATATAAGTATAACTTAAGAGAGAATATGTTGACTAAACCTGTTAATATTAAGAGCATTAGCACCACCATCTGGCTGGTCAAGAAACTCTAGGCTTGTCAATGGGTGATTCGCATTGACTTTGTCAATCCCTTCAACTTTCACACTCGCAATATAACCACAATACCTTACGTTCACAACACCTAGGGTTGCAATATCCTGCACAACAATAACAGTTTTCTTCATAAAAATGATCAAATCACAAGCAAAGATACTACTACATAAGATCAATTTTTAGCTCATCTTATCAAGTTCCCTACATGCGCGGCAGTATTCTCATCAGCCGTGATACCCTTGATCAAATTCCTTTCACCTACTTTCTTGTTATCCAATCCAAGAGCTAGCTGCCCATCGATCTTAGTATCAATTTTGCAACTGGCATCAGACGCGTCTTTGACAACAGCTATGCTCAGGTCCCCAACTTTCTCCGCATAGATAATTTGATCGTTCAAAGCGGAATGTACTAGCTCTGGAGTTCTCATAACATGCTGCATGGCTGCAGTGGCTCTGAAAATAGCAACATCGAGAAATAAACTGTGGAGAAGAAAAGCTTTTCTGTCTCGGGTTTGTCTCTCCTCGGCTGTTTTGCATGGCATGGATGCAAGAAACAAAAACTCATTCGCAAAAGGCACGAGATCACTTTTCCCGTCTCTGCCTAGGCCACCCCCATTCCCTCCCCATTTCTCATCCTCCGTTGGCAAAGGAGGAAATGTGGACGGTGATTGTGCGGCTACAGGTGGGATAAGCCATGTGTTGGCTCTAAAGCCGAAAGGGAGGTTTCCAAACTGCAGTAAGGAAACGTGAATTAGTTTAGTTAGAAATCTGGTATACATTAAGGATTTTTTTTTCCCCTTTTGGTGGCCTTTGCCGAAGATTATAGAAACAAAATAGAATCAGGGTAAGCTCGCTCTACCTTATTTCTTTCTGAGAACGCATTCATGAGCTCATCATAAGCCTGAAACAGAGAGATACTATTAGCCAAATTCGTTACTTTTTTTTATATATATATTTGGTCTGTGTAGAGCGCTGGAACAAAAAGAAGAACAGGTAGCAACAAAAGAAGTTTATAGAACTAACATTATCAAAGGCTCTACTGAGTTGTCTCAACAAGTCAACCAAATTGTGACAAAGAATTTGCTGCCTTCCAGTGCTGTGAAAACCTTTTCTGGAAGCCTCAATGAGTAGCAATTTACCATTACCCAATTTCACCTGCAAAGAAAGAATTATTGCACTTGTGTAGTTATCTATTGATTGTCACACTATTTAAGCAAAGTCCCAACGGGTCTTACTTCAAGAGTGAAAAGATGATCAGCTCCATTAATTCCACTGTCGGTTTTCTTCGATGCCTTCCTTATAACTGACATGGTATCGCCAAATAATAAGTGAGACGAAAATCTCTCTGGAAAGGAACAAGAAGGCAAAACTAAAGCAAATTTGTTTTCTTTTCTTCCTTTCTAAGGATCTTTACAAGAATCTAAGACATCAATCTTCCGACACCAGAAATTGGTATAACTGCTAGAAAGATTCATGACTCCACATGTTTGTGTGTGTTTTATGTTTGTTTAGCATACCCACCAAAGATGCCTATATTAATACATTTGCTAAATAAGTTTTCATCATTTGGCTGAAATGTTGACACTTAATTCCTTTCAGTAAATTTTACAATTTCTGGCCAAGGAGAAACAGCTTTATGGAATCGACATCTGCATTACAATTAGTTTGTAGCCTCTAAACTTGCAACTTAGCAGGCTTTAGTAATCAGTTAGGCTCATTTCAATTTTATTACCAACGGTGTTGTTGATAGACAAGCTTGGCCGGCTACCGGAAAACTAAAAAAACGATTTTGTTTCGAGATTTCGGTAGAATTCATTCTACCAATTCTGAACAGAGGCGAAAAGAAAAAAAAAAAAATTGAGTGAGGAAAATTTACACTGAAGAGGAGGCGTGAGATGAGAGAGAGAAAAGAACTCGTAGAAGCTTGCCAACTTGGGAGAAGTATTGTTCATCTCTCCTTCTCCGTCGAACGCCGAAGAAGATCCTTCCTTCGAATCAGAATCCGCGGCAGCTGCAGGCGCCGCCGGTGGAGGACTCCCTGTGTTGCTCCTCGAGCGGGGAGACTTGCTCGATTTCTTCGAAGTCTTCCTATACTGAGTTCCCCGCCCATCCTTCGCCGGCGAGTCCTTGCTCGCCGACGGCCCGAACGACGTCGTGCAGGCGACGATGTCCAGCAGCCTCCTGATGTGCGCGGTGGCGCTCCCTCCATCGTAGTCCTCTGCGTAGTAATAAGTTTAAATGTCTGAGGGCAAAATCGAGAAATAAGACCTTTTAGTCAGTATTTCTATTTTCCTTTTTTTTTTTTCTTNTTTGAATGAAAAAATTTTTTCGTTATTTTTTGGTAATTTAAATGTAAAAGGTACTAAATACACCACGTACCTCGTGAGATAAGGAGAAGCTTGTGATGTTACACGTAATAACATTAACCGACAATAATCGGCGAACGTCTATAATTCTATCAGTAGATATTCCCTGTTCCAAACGCAACAATATTTGATTGTTAATATGTTTGATATTTTCTTAATTAAAAGTATTGTCGTATTATAAACTATAAAGAATCAAATTTCATTACGGCAGGGTTGTTATCCTGTAGTATTATAAGTCGTAATTATATAAAATCTACTCTAACTTCATCTCCTTCACCATAATGCCATTCAAGGATTCAAATCTTTTGTGGGCTTTGTGTATTTCATGAACCTTGACCAATAATGGCATATTCCAAAATATCATTTCTTGGACATCTCCATGCAATTTCTACTAAGGGTAGGCTAAAAAAAGTCTCCTTTTCTAAGCTTAGAAAAGTAAAAATTAACATGAAAATGCATGAAATATGGTTTAGTCCCCAATCTCCATTTCGGGCTCTAGCTAGGATGACTCGGAAGCTTTCACTTGTTTCTTAACGAACCTTGAGAATAACATGAGTCTCATCCGGAAGGTTTACTTTTATATCCATCACGACTGGAAGAACTGAAAAAAATATGAAAATTTTCAATCCATCATAGCTTAAGTAATGAATGTAATATATACATATATGTATACAAAACCAAAAAAAAAAAAAGATAAAATTAATGTATACCCTTTTCTTCTTTCTTCTTCTTGTCGCCCTTCGTCTTGCCACGACCATTCTTTGGTGCCATTTTCAAAAGTTGAGCTACCTCGACTAGTTTTAAACAAACGCTGAAAAATTCTCAAACAGTTACAATAATAGTGTGCTTCAAATTAATTGTACATGAAAACACAGCATAGGTAAATTAAGGCCTAAAATGTTTCATTATATTGATTATTGAATCAATATATTCTGTTTAAGCACAATGCCAGATTAGAAAACAGTAAATATGGTAGCCTAGGTTAGTATTTGAATCAGTATAAAAAATATTTTAACACTCCCACAAATTTAGTAAGAATAGCTTAACCGCACCAAATAAGGAAAAAACTAAAACAAAATGGTAATACAGCTTAAGAACTATTACCAAATAAAGATTATTAAAAATTCTGACATGTCCAATCCTAGAATTGTTGCAAAGGTATATTAAATGAATCATTTATTATAGTGGTGTAATAAAAGTGAAACCAATCAAAATCTAAATAATAATAATAATAATCAAGAGAAAAAAAAACTAACCAATATTTTGAGGCACACTTGCAGCCTCCTAGCTGATATATATGCCTGGACTTGGGCGCGGGTTTATGAGGTTTATGGGAAATTTAATTATTTTAAAATTTGGGCAATGATTAAAAAAACTATTCCACCATTAACAAGCTTGAATTGGAAGCTTTTCTCCTTAGCAGAGGCAGAGAGAATGGAAGAAGAAAAAAAAGATATAGAGATAGAGATGTAGGGTGTGATAAGGAAGGAAGGGTTGAGATTTAACAGTCAGAAATTGTAATGGCATTTTATGGCTGCTTCTGTCCGTACGGCAAAGATTATCATTAT